TAATTATTACGTATTTGATTAAAAGTATATTTATTTAAATTTCCTTTTGTAATCTTCTTATGATCTAATTATAGTATAATGTGTTTACAATAATAATGTGTATTATGTCACAGAAAACAGCCTTGTTTAAGTATTATGCCATGAATCGATTGACATTATTTATTTAACTGTGTTTTTTATCCTCGTTATACGTAAAAAAAAATCTATGAGAAAACGATCGAAGTTTAATCGCATTTTTATCGCAGTTTCGCTCGATGTCTGGCACATAACGCTCTTTATACTTGTTCTGGGAAACTTTTCTAAAGCATTAATTTCCGGGCAAATATGATTTTAATTTCGTCCTTCGATCGGATGCCATGGACAAGCACTCGCCTACGTAAAACAATTTATGCGCAAGCAAATACGTAAAAGAATACTACTAGTTTCCAAGGGTAACACATTATATCCAGTGAAGGTCAAAATATATGTAACAAAATAATCATAACGTGACTTGTCGATGGTATTGCCATCAATTCCTCTTGTTATTTTATTATTTTTACGAATTATTCTTATTTTTATTTCTAAGTAGCACATACGATTTGTCTTTGTTTCTTTTATATTACTTCCTATTGCAAAATTGACAAATTTTTCTACTCCATTTTTTGCGGGCGGAATGTTTAATAAATTCATGCAAAATTTTGTACAAATCTTATCTTTATCATTTCTGCAGAAAACGTTTTCCAACCGTGATACGAAATTGATATAAATGAATATGTGATACTTTATGTAAACTCTTTTGTCACATAAATGTCACGAAAATTTTCTACATTCGATAACTGTCACTTTTTGCTAGAATTATTTAAAAATTTCGAAAGACAAACCGTGTGTCTCACACGTCTCCCCTCCATGATACATTTCTCTTAAGTTTTTAGTTTATCTCCTTTCTTTCTCAGTTTCTCTTTTGATTTTACTTAATTTATTCTGCCTACATATATTATAGCAAAGACTTACTTTCCTTATCACCGATGCCTTCTTCCTTGTTTGAGTTTAAAATTCGCATTAAAATTCGGTCAGCTGACGCACGCTCTCTCCCGGTTATTTCTCGGCTCTCGGGGGCCGCTTCTCTTTTCTCTCGCGCACCTCAGAATTATAAATCACTTCACGAACATATGGCATTCACTTTCGCTGAAGCATTTGATATCTAGGAGATATTACAATGTTTGTAGCAAAAAGAAAAACAAAGCGAAATTACACGAATGGCGAAAAAGAGGGGGAGGGGGGGGGAGAAAGAAACGTTGCGTAATATTTGCATAAAGGGCGAGTAATGTAAGAAAAGAGACATTGTATAACAGAGAGCAAGAGAGAGAGAGAGAGAGAGAGAGAGAGAAGAATAGTAAAGTAAAAA